AAGATCTTACTTCAATTCATAATCATTTACTTTCATTCATGCGATCGAATAATCTTAGCTAAACGTTGACCACTAGTTGTTCTGGTTGTGGGTTCATATTTGTACCTAGAAACTGAAGAAGAATCAGCGATTTGATTTCGATCGTTTACAATGATTGTATATTATATACGTTATATTCCAGGCTCTTAATATACTATTAATGATTTTTATAATACAAGGCATTAGTCTTTAAACGTTTTTATACCACGGACCGGGCTCATGCCGGACAATCTTTCCGCAGACCGGTAGTGACACATATGTGCAATTTAAGTGCATTTCGATAAAGAGAGCAATAATAAAAAAAGAAATTTATTAAAGGGAAGAAAAAGTGTAAAATCTTTTGATTCTCAAATAATCGTCTAGCATCCAAGTCCAAAGTCCAAAGAAAAAAACCCTGATACAAGTAAGCAAAATAACTAAATAAAGTGCTCAATACATTAAGTAGAGCAGACCTAGTTAAACGTTGAGAGCCAGACAAAACTACCAAGGTTTCACCTAAGCGGATCGTCAGGGAAGGCTGGCTTCTTATGTGAAAACTTGGTGGGTTGGTCTGGCTCTCCGTTTAACTATATATATATATATATATATATATATATATATATATATATATATATATATATACATATATGTTATAAAATCATTACAAAAATAGCCATTTTTTAACACTTCTGGTGTCTTACCAAATGATACCGTTGAATTATTCAACACCATCACTTGATAAAACACCAGAAGTGTTGAAACAAAATGACTATTTTTGTAGTGATTTTATAACATATTTATGTTATATTTTTCAAATAAATGATTACATTTGCTCTACTCTGTATTGAGCACTTTTAAGAATAGTATTTGTTGGTTATTGGAATTTATTCCGTATACACCAATCCTATAATTATATATATATATATATATATGCTAAACTTCTCTTAATACAAGGCTCAAGAGCCTCTTATGATAGAGGATTAACAAATATGGTGATATGAATGTAAGAGGATGAAGTAGGATGTCAAGAGTATGAAGCTAAGGTGGATAGATAACGATTGACGCTTGTCTAGAAGAACTTTAAGTTTGAAGAAAAACTGTGTGCAATTTCCTTTTTGCAATTAGAATACGGGGGAATGAGGTTGATTCAATTCCTTGAATGTAACATAGCAAATTGTAGTGTACGCCCCAGACGCAACATCGCAAGGCTATCGATGTAGAAGTCAAAGTAGGTCAGCCTTCGAACAACACAGTGTGAGCAATTTCATCATTTATTTGTTTTTGGTTTTTCTCTAAGTATTGTCATTACACTTTTAAAAAGTGTAAACTTAAAGATCGATCGAAATAAATTGCGAACAGTTTTTTTTCTGAGAATTGGTTTTCCCCTGAATGACACAGTTGATTCATTTTTATTTCCAATCTAATGTCAAATATTTTTTTTTATTTTTTTTATTTCTCCAGCAGTGATTTTAATATCATTAATTCTACGCACGCAAAATCTATACCGGATACATTTGGGTGCAAATGTAGTTTACAATTGTGTTGTGTTAAGAACTAGTTACCCTTTTTACTATTATAAATGGACTAATCCATTCATGATAAGTAGTCCTTGGAAAAGGATAATGTTACTGGAAAGCAGTTAACGATTTGATTTCGTTAAAGCTCTGCTAGTCGACCTCTCTGCCGTCGGACAGAGAGGAGCCGAGACGCGTCTATGCCTCCGAGCAGAGTCTTGTCTGGGGAGGTAGACAGCTATGCGGGGTCTACGGGAAATTTTTGGTCGAGCGTATGCGATCGGAAAACCCCACGTTAAAAACCGGCCTTGTACCTCATCCCGCCTTGTGGGGAGGTCACGGGTAAATACCTAGTATAATACTACTGCAGTGACTTGTCTAGCTGAGTATTAAACGCTACTATCACAACTGACTCTCTCGAGTTAAGACATGTATCTTGCCAGACCCCACATCACAAGAAACTGTTTTCTCTTTTTTTATGTATTTTTATTTCGCTGTCTATGACACAACGCTGAGTAAGCACAAAACTAGAACAGGGTATAAGGAAACGATGTATCGTCACACAGAATTTATTTAATCAATAGAGCGATGCGCTCTTAACCGAATTAGAAGTTCTACATGTATTTATTCTTAGTAGGAACAATGATAAGAACATAAAATGCGCAAAGGACACTGTATTGATTGCAAATGCAGAAAGAAAAACTGCATAGACTTTTAGAGAAGGCAACAAAGGAGAGCGAGAAGGAAATACTAACTATCAACAGTACGAAATCAGAAAGTGTAGTCGTTAGTAAAAGAGTCAACTCGAGATGCGATTTACAAAAGGGGGACGTCAGAATCAAGAAAGTACAGATTTTTAACTATTTGGCAAGTGTTATGACAAACGATGACAAATGTGACGCAGAAATTCGATATTTTTAATACATAGATATAAATCACAGGACACTGAAAGAAGAGTGGGTACTCTATTAGTAATGGTTAACAAACTTGTCGCGCTAGATCAATTACGACTGAATAGTGAGTTCGGTTCTGAGTGTCTCATACTTACAGCCTTGTGCCACATCTAGACTATCCTTAGTAAATCACTTGGGTACTTCGACGTGGTTAGCAAGCTTGTCTCGCGAGATGAATCACGACTATGTAGAGTTCGATCCTCACTGGTGTCCCACAGTTACGGCCTTATGGTACAACAAATCTACACTTAGTACATTACCGTTGAAAGAAGAGGAGCAGAGAGAAATAGCTAGCAACCTACCTAATGAGCATATGTAAATAGGTGGCAGAACAGGGACTGGGGGGGGGGCAGAGGGACTGGGGAGGACAGCAAGGAGAATGATATTCCTTAGCGCTACAAAGGATAAGAAGCTGGGGAGAGGTGTATATGCTAATTGCTTTAATACTGATTTTTAAGTCCGTTACAGAAATACTTTTTGTTAGACACTTCAAGGTTCTAAACAGACGTTAACGCATATGATTTACTTTCGTATTCAGAACTTTCACCAATCGTGATGAAAGGATGTTCCTTCAGGGAGACCCCATGCCTTGAGCATCTATTGGGATTTGAACTCAGACCTCAAGTCGAACTCCTACATACAATCCATCGCTAAAGAGGCTGGTTTGGTTTGATTTGTTTTACGGCATATCAACCTCAATGGCGTATTTAATGCTGACAATATTTTTAATGCTGGTATTTTTTTTTTCTTTTTCAAAAATGTATTGCAGATATTTTTTTTTAAATGTATAGCTAATAATATTTATTTTTTCAAAAATGTATTGCCGGTAATAATGTATTGCTGGTAATAATTTTTCTTCAAAAATTTATTTCTGGTAATAATTTTTTACAAAGTATTTCTGGTATTAAAACCTATTTTTACATTTTCAAAATGTTTTGACCCCAGTTTTGGGGCTAACTATTTACCCATAGCTGGGAACCTAACAGGTGCTACCACTCCTGGTCAGGGTGGACCTGGGAACACCAGCAATTAAGAGGTGATTCCACGCTCCTCAAAACCCCCTTGCTGTTGGACGTAGTTTATCGTCTTACCCAAGGCGCGGATGTGGTTAATCGTCATACCCAGGACGGAAAGGGACTGGAAAAACGGTCGGTTCCCTGTAACGCTCCCTACAAGTACATGATTCCTCCTGCTATACTCAAACTTTATAAGAGCCAGATCAGGCCAAAAATAGAGTATTGCTGCTGTATATGGTCAGGGGCTTCCCAGTCTTCCCTTTCTACTCTCGATAGAGTCTAAGAGCATCTACGCGTCCTTGTAGGCGATTAATTATTTTCCAAATTGCACCCCCTTTCTCACAGGTGAGACGTCGCAGGCCTCTCGCTCCTCTATCGATAGTTTCATAGGGATTGTTAGATGAACTAAACTCGTTAATTCCACAAGTCCTAACCTTCATGTCTAAGACCAACCGTCCCCCCTCATTCCCTGGTGAGGTGTAAGTCCCACTCAAGCAGCTTCTTTACACGAGTCACTACCTTGCGGAACAGACTCCCAAGTGGCTGCTTCCCCGATCACTACAATCTTAACCTATTCAAATCTAGGGTTAACCGTTATCTTCCACACATATCCGCATAAGCTGTACCTGTTACTCTGTAAATCTCTACCTTGAGTGGCTCCCGGATCTTGTACAGGGTGAACTCCAGTGTAAATAAAATTTGTAAATATTACGTTATGCTAATTATTTTTATTATTAGGTACTAATTTGTAACAACCAAAACTAATTTCAACAGCTTAATATAGACCAAAGGGTTATGTTATTTTTTTTTTGTTTCATGATGCATTCCTTAAATTAGTTCTGCCCAAAGTTGAGAGGTTGCGTAAAAATTTAGGTAGGTAATTGATTTTAGCATCATTATGAGCTGATTCTCGAAATACAAGAAAAGCTTGATCTACATGGAAAGGATACTCAAATAATCTATAACCTATACTGGGGAACAACAGAATCTGCATGTGGATAGAGAACGCGTTTAGTGAATTCACAAAAAATAGAAATAGTCAAGTACAGTGTTTTCCCACCGGAATTATTTAACCTATACAAGGAGAAGTTTCTAAGATAATGTTATAAACCTACCTAATGGGCATATCCCAATGCTCATAAATACGTTGGACACTATTGTAAGTAGGGGTAATATGCTGTCTAAGTAGTCCACCACTAGCAGTGGTTTACCTAATTCACGCCACTAGCGAGTATTGCATTTTGTTGATGTTATAAAGATTACCATTTCATTTCCAACCTTTGTTTTGACTATTTCTCATTCAGTAACCTTTTCTAGGTTACAACACAACCCAACATGCAAATTACAAATTGTAAACATCAAAATCAAGTAAGTACAAACATTTCAATATATGAGTAGTGTTTTAACAGATAACGGAAAGTGTGACACTGAAATCCGGAGGCGGATTGAAATGTCGTTCTACAGAATGATTTTGATTATTCCTCATTCAGTAACTTTTTCTAGTTTACAGTAGATAGATAGATAGATAGATAGATAGATAGAACCCGAACTGAGATAGATAGTGTTGCATACCGTACCTATGAACACTAATGGTTATGTCCCAATCCGCATAAACACGTTAGACACTATTGTAAGTAGGGGTAATATGCTGTATAAGTAGTCCACCATTAGCAGTGGTTTACCTATTTCACGCCGCTGGCGAGTATTGTATTTTGTTGATATTATAATGATTACCATTTCATTTCCGACCCCTGTTTTGGTTATTCCTCATTCAGTAAATTTTTCTAGATTACAATAGTTACAAAACCATTTTCCCACGATATTTGTTGAATCATATATAATATCCAATTTACTATTTTCCGCCAGTTTAAGATCGACACACTTACCTGGGCACCTGCGTTAGCTTTTCCTGGTCCTTTCCTACCATTTCCAGTCTCCATGGCTTTACTCTCTTCTCCTCTGATACCTATATAAGTCATATAAACGGACACACCTGAGTGCATTTATTTCGTCCACCTGGTTCGGTTTTAAATTCCAGTCACCTGAAGACCGGAGTGTACAACGGCCGAAACATTGTGAATATGGCAAGGAAGATGAGGATAACAGACTGAATAATGTAAATAATGTAAGTAACAAAGAGGAGGCTTATACTTAACATCAGGAAGAGGCAACCGAATTTCCTGAGACACATAATGAGGAAGGAGGGCCTGGAGAATCTGATACTCACGGGTCGAATAGAGGGAAGAAGAGATAAGGGAAAACAACGCATGACATACCTAGTAGCTTTAAGCAAGTGGATGAAAGAACGTGATCTGGGGAGGTGGCAGAGGGAAGGAACTTGTTGAGAGCTGCAAGGGATAGAAGGAGGTGGAGAGCCATAATCACCTACGTCCTGAAAGGACACGGCACATAGAAAGAAAGTATCATAATACCGCATCTCAGAGATATAGACAGATAGTAGATTTTTCCTGCAGTAGTTTGCCATTTTTTCGCGGTAGACTGGATGCCAGAAAGTCTATAAGACATGGTGTGTCCTGCTATTCAATCCATAGCTGGGGGGAGAAGATATGGATTCATACCTTTCCCAAGGAGATTTGCGCGTAAGTGAATGTAACGAACCCGGCTGGAATTCGAACTCTGCTCAACAATTTCTCATTCCGAGCCAATAACCGTTACGCCACAACGCACGTTTGATTTGATATATTAACAAAATGTGTCTGTTCGTCCTCAAAAAAATACGGCATGCGGATGGCACTGTACTGATGGAAAACAGCAAAAAAAAAAATATCAAAAAAAGATTAGACAAGGCAGTAACGGAAAGCACAAAACATTTACAGAGAGGATTAATTTTAATTGCAAGAAAACTGAATTCATGGTTGTCAGCAAAAGATGCAACCCAAAGTTTGAGATACGTATTGGGGACGTCAAAATCAAACATAACAGAGTTGTGTAGAAACAAACGACAGAAAAGGTGGCACAGACATAAAATAAAAAAAACGCTGAAAATTAGCGAAAGATGCCTGCTAAAGACTAAGCAAATTATTAAGAGACAGGATAATATACTTAGAAACAAAGAAAAGCTTCTTTGTAATATCCAATCTCTGATATGCCAGGGAATGCTGGACAATTTCTTCAAATATGAAAGCGACTTAGATGTGGATCTTTCGATGAATGCTATGGATTCCATGGACATAAAATATGTGTGATATGAGTGATATGATATAATATGATATAAGTGATATGAGTAGGATACTATAGACATACGATATGAGTAACTAATACATTTTAAAGAATATAGGAACAAAAAAGAATCTCCTACTTACAAAAGGAAATAGATTTCTGGAATAAAGAAGGAAGAAAATGGTCGTAGAGAATTTAACACTAACAAGGTCAATTGAATGCAAGCGGAGGAGAGGTAAACAGACAGTAAACTGCTTTGTGCGGATGGATGGCAGAACAGGGAGATAGGGGAATGGCAAAGCGTCAAATGTTACTTAGAGTACCAAAAGATATGTCTTCAAAAGACTTGAAGCATAAATCTAGATTTTTTTTTCTATTGAAATGAATTGATAACATAAATAACTTTTCAACTACAGTAACATGGGGTTAAATGATATCCATGCATTAGAAGATATTTAAACGCAATTAAATCCGTAGCCCCCTTTTTTTTTTTAACAGTGATGTTTCCCCTGTACAAGGCTCGGGAGCCACTCGATGTCAAGGGTTACACAGAAAGAGACTGTTTATGTGAATATATTGGGAAGATAACGGTTAACCCTTAAGTTGAACAGGTTAAGATTGTAGCGACCAGGGAAGTATGCTCTTGGGAGTCCGACCGCGTTACTTAGAACGATTACTTCGCTACTTATGTAATTTTTTTTTTAAAGGTGTCAATAATATAAATGACAGAAGAATATGAAAAGGAACTGCTGATTATTTACGGCTATTTTTTTAATAATGCACTATCTTTTGCGTTACGTGGTAATAATTGTAAGTAAAATGATGCACCGAAATAAGTAACCAAATAATCGTTTTTAAATTTTCTGATTATCGGTACCATAAATAAACAGTAAAATACATTAATTAAATACGTAAGTAAAAATTAATAAACATTCTTTTTTATATTTCTGAAAGATTTACTAAACTATAAATAGCTCTTTATATAAACAAATTCTCCCCAAGCAAGGCGATAATGCCACTAAGATGCAATAGGCTACTGGAGTTAAAGAGAATAAGTAGACTTTAAAAGGAACCGGAAACCCAATCCTATGCAGGAAATAAGTGATAAATCTTTACTCCTGTTAAAAAAAGGGAGGAGTATGAACTGGGTGATAGAAACGAATGTTGTTTTAAATTTAACCTAGTTAAACGTGAGTGTTGTAACAAATGGAGAAAATCTAAAATCTCTACTTTTACTTTTACGAAACAAAAAAAAATGTTAACTTTTACCAAATAATTGATGGAGACTTACTAGAAATTTCTTTTAAGAAAAGAGGGTTCTGATGCTAAAAGACTGGGAAACCCTGCTGAATAGCTCTACCTTTGGCATCAACAGTCAAGCCAACGCTCTGGTTTCAGAGAAGTGTTATATTGTACTCTGACTTTCCGTCCAGGAGATACCGTTAAATCACCTAGAAGCGTATCAACTGATATTTTTTTATTATTTAAAACGAAATTGTTTAATATGCAGAAAATTTACACGAGCGCTCACGGTATTGAAATTTGTGATTGCATTAAATATATATAAACCGGAAGAAGAAAATTCAAATTGGTGAAAATTGAAAATTTTACACTAACTTTTCATTATAAAACTGATAATGGCTAATTGACATTTTACACTAATTACATTGTTCGTCCTCACCTTTATTGTCATATTAACGACGTTTCCGCCATTTTACGCTCCGGTCTTCTTCAGGTGATAGATGCTGGAATTTCGAACCGAACCCTTTATTCACTCCACTGCCGTAGATTGCTTTTGTTCCACGTGCCATTCTTTTTCTGGATAACTCAGTTTCAGTTATTTTCTTTTAGTAACTCAGCTTTCCATGTTTTTTTTTCTCGTCTCTGCTGTGACGAGGTACTGAACTCACAAAAAGAAAAGGCAAGGCACGTGGAACGAGAACAATCTACCACAGTGGACTAAATAAAGGGTTCGATTGGAAATTCCAGCGTATAACACATGAAGAAGGCCGGAGAGTAAAACGGTCGAAACGTCATTAGTATGACAGTAAAGATGAGGACAACAGTCCGAACAATGTAAATAGTATAAATAGTTACAAAACCTCAAAATCTCAGAAATACAGACATCCTAACTTATATTTACCTTATATATTTACATATTTATACTATATATATATATATATATATATATATATATATATATATATATATATATATATATCTAGGATGTATCGAAATTATTTTACGAACTTTCGCGCGGGTTCCTGACACCAAAACAAGGTAAAATGTCCATATAAACATATTTCCAAAAGGCCATGTAAAATGTGTTCTTCGTGGTCAGGCGTATGATCGGATCTCGGTCTTCCTTGATCCTTGTTGTGCCACTAACCTGTCTGAGCAACCCGACAGTAAACAGCAGCTAAGGTTGGATGACCCGGCTGCATTCGATCTGGAAACGTAATCTGATACAGCTGTGCAGCCTCATGTCCATTACCATTCGCACGGCCTTATGTAAAAATCACATATGCCTGCTCACGATATGAATAACCGGCCATTGTTAAACAGAACATTTCTCAGTTGATTCACTACTACAGACGTTAATCGCTGGAGGCATACTAGCCAAAAATGTACACGAATGACAAATGTAACCTAGTCTACATAGCAACACAAAACCATCTAGCAAAAACCTTCTTTAAAATTAATAAATCAAAAACGAAAGATTTGCGTATATATGTTTATATGGACTTTTGTCTTTGTTTTGGTGTGATGAACCCGCTCCCAAAGTTTGTAAAATGATTTTTGATACATCCTGGATATATATATATATATATATATATCATCATAATATGTTATATATATATATCATAATATAAAGTTATATATATATATATATCATAATATTATGTTATATATATATATATCATAATATAAAGTTATATATATATATATATCATAATATTATATTATATATATATATATATATCATAAATTATGTTATATATATATATAATATTATGTTATATATATATCATAATATTATGTATATATATATATATATATCATAATATATGTTATAATATATATATATAAAATAATATTATGTTATATATATATATAATATTATGTTTATATATATATATATATATATATATATATATATATATATAATATTATGTTGTATACATACATATGTATATATATATATATATGTTTGTGTGTGTATATGACATGTAATATTATGTAATACATATAAAACAATTGTTTCTTAACATTTGCTATATCTAACTCTTCTTTCAGCAAAATTTAAAAAGTGTTGATTCGTTTCGTCGGCTCATTCATCCATTTTTTTCTCTACTTTTCATAATAACATTTCCCATTCCTATTAAGGACTTGTAAGCATTTTTCAAACCGATGGAATACGAATACAGGCAAAAAATGGATGCTGTAGTCGATTTTAGTAAAAGATGAAATTAGTAAAAGTAAGATAAACATACCAAATATAATATAATATCTGGCTACCCGTATTCGAGGATACCCATCTACTAGAGCGGCTAACCAATCCCTATTGCAGACGCTCGCTCATGCATATTTGTGCTTGTTCAGCACTCACAGAGCCAACCTGTGATTTATACTGCAACTATGCTAAGCAGACCTTAGTTACAGTTTCTGGGAGAGAGCGTGTTATCTAGCATGATCAATCTGAACAACGCAAGCACGATATGAACAGATAGATATGAACAGACTGAAATAGATTGATATGGACAGATATATAGCTATATTGACAGATATGAACAAATACATATGAACAGATAGATAGAAATATATATATATATATATATATATATATATATATATATAAACAAATATATATATATTTATATTATCATATCATAACATATATATTTATATATATATATATATATCAACAATATATATATATATATATAGATAGATAGATAGATAGATAGATAGATAGATAGATATGAACAGACTGAAATAGATTTATATGGACAAATATATAGCTATATAGACAGATATGAACAGATAGATAGATAGATAGATAGATAGATAGATAGATAGATAGATAGATAGATAGATATAAACAGACTGAAATAGATTGATACGAACAGATATATAGCTATATAAACAGATATGAATAGATAGTTATGAACACACCAACACACACACACACACACACATATATATATAGAGAGAGAGAGAGAGAGAAAGAGAGAGAGAGATTAACAGACTGAAATAGATATGAACAGACTGAGATAGATAGATAGATAGATAGATAGATAGATAGATAGATAGATAGATAGATAGATATGAACAGACTGAATTAGATAGATAGATAGATAGATAGATAGATAGATAGATAGATAGATAGATAGCGTCTTTAATTACAACAGATTTAATAGGAGAAGCATACGATACATATCAAATTAAATAGAAACGTCTAAGGATTCCAGTTCTAGAATTCCACATAGTCTCCTTCATTCTCAAACGTGCTATTCCACTTTTAAATGAAGACATGTGTACGCGTTTCACAGGAGGTTCTTAGCTCTTGTTTCGTTCTGTTCACTGTAGCTGAGATTAAGGATAAGGTCAAATGGGCCGTCATCCTAATTACAGCTGACAGAAGAATCACGACAGTAGAAATCGGTTTTCAGATGACTTATGGTTGACACTTTAGTGAGGAATTTTGGCTACTCAAAGACTTGTGCGACATGGGTTCCCATAATGCTGACATACTCTATTAAGGAGCAGAATGTAGTTGCTGCCAAAGAGCTTCTCAACGCACTCAAGAGGCAATCATGACCACAGGAAAGAAGATAACTAGCACATGTCTAAGAAAACAGCCAAAAAGCTTATTGGGCGCGGGTATGCATCCCCCCCCCCTGTCTAAGGTACAATAAAACGACTGACGAAGAATGGTACAATTATGAGACTTAGATTTGGAAACCTGAGACTTTTTTTTTAATCATTTCACTCCAAGCAAGGCAATAAAGCCAGTAAGATGCAACGGTAGGGGTTACTCACTGTTAAAGAGTATGCAAAAAATAAAGGAAAATACTATTAAGGAGAAAGAAGAATAAAAGAATAAAAATTAAGAAACCAGAAAATAACGATTGGCATTTCATTTAAATTTCTGAAGATCAAACAAGACTAGAAAGGAAGAAATCAAAAGAGAGTTTTACAAGTGAGATGAAACTGTTAGTATAGAACTTACGGTAGCATCTAGCTATTTAAACTGTAAAATGATAAGACCTAGCCGCCAATCTAGTACTGCGCTTAAATTCATAAAATCTAGCTGCCATAAAGGAAAGTTCACCAGAACAATTATCATGAGATTATCTATAGAAAAGGCACAGTGAAGCCACATTTGTGGCTGTGGAGAGTGACTGAAGGTGAGATGCCAAGTCAGGACCAATAACTGTGCAGGTTTTTCTTTAGATTTTATCAAGAATCTCTAAATGTACAACAGGAGCACCAGACCAGATATGGCAGCAATATTCAACACATGAACTAAAGGTAGACGTATAAATTTGTAAGATAAATTCTGGGAAAAAAAAAACTTGTTTAGCACGTTACCAACTTTCCTATCAGCAGACCTAGCAATTTATTCAATATAATCGTTCCATTTCACATCAGCAGAAAAATGTTAGCACAGGAAAACACAATAGCACTCTCCTGGAGGTTAGCATCAGCCATACTGAAGAAACGCCGAAAGATGATCGACAGCAATTTCGTTTTGGAAGCGTTAGAATTAACAAGCCATTCATTGGCCCATTTAACAACAGATTGTAGGTCCTTTT